TGCTCCGATCTGGGTGGGGAACTGCCCAAGTGAAGGGAGAAGAGGGGTGCAGCAGTGGCATAGCTAGGAGCTGACACGTGGGTGGGCCCCAACTTCTGGTGGCCAGCAGCCACACGAGCTGGACCCACCAGGTGGGGCGCCCCAGTGGGGTGGAGTCGCCTTAGAACTGCCAGCCCTCCAGGAAGAATTATGTCATGTGAGGAAGTCTCCAGGAATACGAGCAACCAAAACGGGCAACCCTAGCTCTGGGATGCACAAGTGCCCTCCCAGGCCTACTCCACATGCTCATCTTTGTGGCAAAACGGCTTCACAGGTTCCATCACTGCAATGGGCTACAACGCCTCCACTGCCTGGCTACAGTGCCCCAACCCAGGCAAAGGCCGCCACACACCTGCTGGAGCTGCTCAAATGCTGGGCTCAGGTCTCCGCAGCAGCAACCAGGCTCAGGCAGCAGCACATGTCTCAGCTGCATGTAGGGAGGAGGAACTGGATGCAGCAGGGCTGCTCAGGACCTCTCCACTATAATGGGGGTGCTACTGGCTCCCAGGCCCCATGTCTGCTGTTGCTCAGCCCACACGGGGTTGCAGGTGACTGGAACGCCTGGTCAAAAGGTATCATGGTTCCAGTCAATCACACCATTTTAATGGCCAATCAGACCATTAAAAGTTCAGTCGGTGGTGCAGTGCAGGTCTTGGGTTAAGGCAGGCTCCCTACCTGCCCTGGCTGCACCCAGCTCTCGGAAGGGGCACATGAGCAAGCAGGAAGGCTTCAGGCACTGTCTCACCTAAATGTTGGCTCTGTTGGTCAGGAATTGTGACGGATGGGAGCTGCAGGGGCAGTGCTTGTGAGGGTGACCAGAGCCTCTCTGGCCTAGGGACTTAAGCAACTAGACAACTACATGATAAGCTTAGGCTTATTGGGTAGTCAAGTCACTACTTGACTAGTTGCTCCCCCCTTCCTTGACTAGTTGGCCCCCCTTCCGGTACATAGGCAGCAAAGGTGGAGTGGGAGCCTGCTTAAAAGCTGGTTCCCCAGCACCATCTCCGCAGGGGGCCACAGCAAACCCACTTATCAACTAATTAAGTCATCAATGGAAATTCCATTAACTACTTGATTAGTTTCCTAACCACTACTTAACATCACTGCTCTGGCCACCCCTGCGCTTAGGGGCTGCAGTGACCTGGTGACCGCAGTATGTGCATTCAGGACCCTGAATCTGCTCCTACACCCCAACCTCTGCCTCAGTCAAGAATCCCTTCCTGCATCCAAACTCCCACCAGGAGCCCGCACCCTCTCAGGACCCCAGGCTCCTGCCCCAGGCCAGAGTGCACTCCTGCACCCCAAATGCTTTATCCCCTGCCCCACCTCAAGCCTGCACTTCCAGCCCAGAGCCCCTACCACGCCCAGTGAAAGTGAGTGACGACAGGGGAGAGCAAGCAATGTTGGGATGGTGGAAGGAGTGAGTGGGGGGCAGGGCCTCAGAAGGGGTGGGACTGGAGGGCTTTGTTTTGTGGGATTAGAAAATTAGCAACCCTACCCACACATGACTCTTGCACAGTGGGAGCAAGGCTGCTCTGGTGCAGGTGCCTCGGGCCTCTGAGGCACAAACTTTGCATCAGCTCCTGGCTGCACTCAACCCTCCTCCTGTCCTATGCTGTGCGCCCACAGGAATCTATGGGAGCTGGGTGTTCTTCCGATGGAGGTGGAGATTCCTCCATGGAAGAATCAGCAGTTGCAATGGCAGGCTCACAGGCTCAGACTTGGGTGGGCCCCCTGGGTAGTAACTGACTTGGGGGTGTGGAGCACCCAGGCCCGCCTGTGCCTACACCTTTAGGACACAGTGTCAGTGTGAGCCACAGCCTTCTTCTCTCGGATTCCTTTACATTTTGGCACCACAGAGATAACACAAGATGGTGGCAATGACATGAGCCTTGAACATCTGGATGTGTAGGGTCAGGGTGAACAATGCAAATATCCTCAACATTCAACTGTGGCTCTTAATGTTTCGGGAACAAATAATGGTACTATCAGCCATGTTTTTCTATACACAGTGATCAGCCATATATAGCCATAAACTTAAAAAACATAAACTGGTCTGGTAGCACTTTATAGACTAACAAAACATGTAGATGGTATCATGAGCTTTTCGTGGGCACAGCCACTCCTTCCAGGTTTTTTTTTTAAGTTTATCCTGTACAGACTAACTCGGCCACCCCGGAAGCATATATAGCCAGTCAGAATCACATCCGCTTTAGATTAAGAGAACAACAACAACAAAAAGAACAAAGGTAAACTCACTGACAGTAAAGCGTGCATCTCTTCTCTGTCACCAGCTGCGTGGAATGACACAAAATGGCTGATGGCCTCCACAGACAGCAGAATTCTTAAAGATTGAAAAGTGCTGTATACAGAAGGCATAACAGTCACATAACTGAATACAACACACTGTCTGATAAACCTTTAACATCTATAGCTGAAAATTCAAAATGTACCACTTAACAATGCAGATCATGGGTGACAGGCACACAACCACTAAATACTCAAGAAAAGAATTAGTCAGGAACCCTTGTGGTTTATGTATTGAATATGTAGCAAAGAGTTTGGATCAGAAGCACTAGTGAAAGGAAAGCTATTGCCTCTACAGAAATAAAATTACATATATCAGTATTTCTAATCATTGCTGCTATTAATCCAAACTCCTTGTTACACACAGATACACACACACACACACACACACACACACACACACACACACACACACACACACACGGGTGCTCAGAAAAACAGACGCTGGTCCTGACAACCTCCAGCCACACTGCAGCTGCCAGTGCCTGACATCTGGCCATTATGGCAGACTCCCATGCTTTTCTACTGCTGTATAAAGCAAAATCTCTGACTCAAGAAAGAGGCATTGGAATGTTGAGAATCAGAACTATTTGAGTTGGCAAACTGAGATACAAAAGTCACAATAGAAACTATGTGTCTCTGTTTTCTTCACGTCATGAGTCTTGGAGCCATTAAAAGCACAGTGGAAGGGAGAGCCCACAAATCACCATGGCTTGTTTCCTCACCATTGCTGGAAGCATATGGAGGCCCCTCTTCAATAGTGCAATGTTTTGCTTCCTATCAGACGGTATTTTTGCTAATTATCCTTGTAGAAGCTATTTTTTTTGTTAGGGAAGTAGGGGATAGGCGTGCTGGGTCTGCAAATTCTCATCCAAGAGCTGAGTGTAGGGATGCCTCAATCAATGGAGCTGGCCCTGCTGAATCTGAGAGATTTCAAGGTGACACCTCAAACTCTTCTCTCATCTTTTTTGATGAAACCTGAGCCTGCTGGCACCTCTGTAGTCCCTCCTCCACCGCCACCCCCTTAACCAACTGCCCCTCCCATGGACTGCACTCTCACCGCCCCCATCTTCCCCCAGGATCATCCACTATCAAACCCTGGACCAGTGCCCAGATTTAAGGGATTCCCTCCCCCCCACCTTGGATTAATTTCTCACCCACCCAGCATCATCCAATGCTGCCCCTTGGGCCAGTGCCCCTGAAAGGAGACACCCCCCTACCATGGGCTTCATTTCTCACTCACTCCCTGCAGGATTGTCCAGCCCCACTTCCTTCATCCCCCTCCCATCCCTCCCTCCCCCC